ACACACAAAATTTAAATAAATCTTTAAAGAAAAAAATAAATATCAGCAACCTGCTCCAAGGCCTGATCAGGTGCTACATTCTTCAGAAAGAGACACAGAGGCAGACTGTCCTCAGAGATGCAGGGCTGCCTCCTGCCTCCTGCCTCCTGCCTCCCTGTCCCTCAGTTCTCTGACCTTGATGTAATGGAGCCACACACTTCAGCTGAAAGCAAAGCCTGAAGCTAATGGGCATTAGCCAAACCTGCCAAGACGCCCACCACTCCAGAAGTCAGCTCACTTACCCATAACACAGGCAGCACTTATGAACACCCAAGCCCTGCTGTCACTCAGGTACTTTCCTTGGCCTGTGATAATTCTCTCTCCCTCAACCAGCAAATCAACAGAAAGTTCAAGAAACAGTCCTCAAAACGACTATTGCTAAAACTGTTTTTCTAGCCCTGGGGCCCTCCTTTGAAATCATGGATCTCCATTCAAGGACCCATCACCTTCAATACTACATCAGTCTTTCACTAAGAATCAGTAGAGCAAGCAAGGCAGGGGAAGGAGCACTAAATCCGTAGTTCATAAGTGGATCTTGTGATTAATATGCTTATCCACCATTCAGACAAATACCCAATAACAAGAGGCAGTAATTACCAAATACACAAATAACCCAAATGTACCCATGCTTTGAGTGGTTGCAACACCTGGATTCCCAGAATCTTCATCCACTGTGCGTTTTAAAGAACTGCATTAACTCAAGTACAGCAGACGTGTAAGAGCTAGGAATCCCAACTTGCAGCAAGTCAGAAGGCTCAAAAATGCTTTTCATAATCATACAAATCAGTTCAATCCACACATTATTTACTGTGTGGCAGACATTGTGCTAAAAGCAGTACATACCAAAAAAGAAACCCAAACAACAACAAAAAAAAACCTTGCCTATCCAACTGGAAAAAATAGACCTATAAAAAAGACCAATTATCTTGCAATTGAAAAAAAAAAAAAAAAAAGGCAGGAGGTAGGAACACCTAAGAAGGAGCAATGGATGGCTCTCCCCCGGGGGAGTGGGGATAAATGGCAAGTCTGGGACGGCTGCCCAGAGGAAGCAGCAGCATTTGATTGGGTCTTGCCAGTTGAGAAACTTCTTTTCCCAGATAAAAGGTGAAAGGGTATCAGAGGTGGAGGGAAGAGTACACATGAAAGCACTCAAGCATGAAGTCAGTGGTCTTCTTAGGGGCTCACATGGGCAGGTATTAAAGGACCTTGTCCACTCTGCTAAGGAAACTGGGCTTTATCCAGCATCTTGTAGGAAGTGGGTTAGCATCTTATGTTTACCACAAGCAGATTTGTGCTTTCAAAAACCAGCCAAGAGATGATGGTATGGCTGGGCTAGAGTTGACAAACTGCTGGGGGCTAGGGTTCTAGCACAGATTGTGAAGAGATTCCTGGGGTACTGAGAGTAGGCTGCAAGGAACAGTGAGAATGAAAGCTCTGCAGATGTCTCAAAAGGCCCCAAGATCACACTGAAGAAATAGCACAATTGGTAGAGTGCTTACCTAGCATGAACAAAACTATGGGTTTGTTTGATCCCTAGTATTGCATAAAACCCAGTGTGCTGTGCTGTGGTGGCATGCCTATGATCCCAGCACTCAGGAAGGGGTGGTAGGAAGATAAACAACTCAAGTTCATCCTCGAGTGTTCAAGGCCAGCCTCGGATACATGAGATTCTGAAAAGAAAAATAATCGCCACAGGAGATGAAGAGGTTGATTATGAGGGAAAAGCCCTTAGTGAGGAAGAGGAGAGATGTATAAGTGAGAGTCAGAGGAAGCAGGAAAGGTGGTCAGTGTTGTCTTGGCATTTTCTTACATCCAACATAGAGCCTATACCATAAGCAGAATCCGCTTAGATTATTAAGTTAAGAAACCAGTCAAAGTGGGTAAAGGTGATCTAGCCTGCCCAGGACCAACTGTAGCCACAAAATCTTGCACTGGAGGCCCCATGTCCTAGCTCCTCACTTCCCTTTGTGCAGGGAGATTGAGGTCACAGCACAAATCATGCTGGTCCTCACCCTCTCCCCTCTGGCCTGATAACTGCTGTCTCTTTCCTTGTCTTTTCTTCATGAAGGAACTCCTCCCATCCTGCCATGCTCCCAGCCTCCCTCCCCATTACATCTCTCCCTTCCGAAGTATTGCTCTCCTCCTACTCCTCATCCACTCCCATTCACACATGGCATCTTGCTGGAAATAGCAAGGGTAGGGTGAAGAGCAATGAATCAAAAGCCTGTGTTCCAAGGCTGACTTGCCCACTAGCTGGCTAGAGACACTACCTGGCCTCAAACTCAGGGGCCTCAAATAAAAAGATGAGAAGAAGAAGAAGAAAGAAAAACCCTTTGTTTATCTCATAGCATCAGCATGGGAACAGAATCCAAGAAAGACCATAAAAGGATCACCAGGAAGAGGCAGAAAGGAGTGCAACAGGATGCTGGTGTCTACCAGGATGCTGATGTCCACCAGACAGTGAGTTCCTTGGGGACAGGAGCCAGGTGTTTTGGGTCTTGGGAACCTACTTTTTCCTTGTACACGGTAGGTATCTGATAGAGACTGGACTTATCCATAAGGGCCGTCTTGCCACCCCCATTGTGCAGGCGATGCACCCCCACAACACCCCACTTTGGGAAGTACTGCTTTGCTCCTGGCTTCTTCCAAAAACAGCCCGTTCCTGGAGGCAAACCAAGAGTCACAGTCACGCTGCCTGCCTGGATGCCTTGGTGGCACGTTTGACCAAGTCTGTACTCCATCCCCTCCACTGAGCCCCAGCTGGAGCCCCTTCTACATCTTGGCTCTCTCTCTCTCTCTCTCTCTCTCTCTCTCTCTCTCTCTCTCTCTCTCTCTCCGCTCTATATTGTTTTTTTGTTTTTCTATTGAAACCTCCCCCTCAACTCGGCCACGTCTACTGCTGTTTTCATTGATGCCTTCAGCAAAGCTGGCATGTGCAACTGCTGAGAAGGGGGAGCGCAGAGCGGTGGGGGAAGCAAGTAAAAATAGCCTGGCGCGAGTCGCTCTGCCTGCTCCGGACGCCTTTAACCCGCCGGGAGGTGGAGGAGCTGCAGCCGTCACTGCACACTGCGGAACGCAGCAAGGGTCTGCCCCTAGACCCCACGGCGCAAGGCCGGGAGATAGGGGATAGAGACCCGCGAAAACTTTTTTTTAAAGATGAGCCAGGGATGGGGGGCGTTGGGGAAGCAGGGAGGAAGCGCTTCAGCCACCTGGCTGCGGACACTGCTACGTGCCCGCTGGCCCAACACTTTACCGGAGCGCGGCCTTGAGACTCCAAGCTATTTTTAGAAACCTCTTCCGTGGGTGGGCGATCAAAGGGCGGAGGGGGGAGGGGAAGAGCGAGGCGGTGGCTTCTGCTAGGCTGAGCGTCTGGTGCCACACACACACACACACACACACACACACACACACACACACGGCTCTGAAGGTCTGCCCTCCGGTGGAGGGTGGGGGAGAGGGTGAGCCAGGGGACCCCATGCAGGCTGGCTTTGCCCTTACTCAAGATGACAGACCTTAGACACAGAATGCCCCGCAGCTTTCAAGCCTCAGAGTGTTTGTTTCAAAATCGACAGTTGCCAGATGCATGCTGTCTCTACTCACTCGGGGAATAGGAATTTATTTTTTAAGCTTTGCTGCCTACACTGCGGGGTAGGGAGGTGAGTTGTGAGCTCGAGGAAAGGTCAGAAAGGGTCTCGACATCTCTTTTGTATTCTGACAAGACAGAGGGACAATCCCCACGCCACACCCCCATCCCCGCCCCACGCTGCATATGGGTAACCATATGTGAAATGTACGGCAGCCCCACCAGACACCCGGCTATTAATAGAGCCTCAGAGTTTGCTCTCTGTGTCTTTTTCCTGCCACCGAATAAGGGTTGATCACACATACCCCACTCCGCCCCCATCTCGGCGCACCGTTCCTCCGCGAAGGTAAGGGGGCTGCCCACGCCAATCCCCTCCGTGACTACAGGTGCCCCGAGCCTACGATCCGTCCCACTGTAATGACCGCGGGGTCAGAGCGAGGCTGAGGAACACAGTCTTGGGACCCACAACGCAGCAGGGTCTCCTTGCAGCTGAGGGCTAACTCGAATGTAGAGAGAGGGCAACGGTGGATCTGCCAAAGGTGGACTACCATTTGCGGAGCCACAGAGACCTCCTCAAAAGCTGCTGCGGGACAGGTGGCCGCAGACCCGCGGGTAGCCGCAGCCTCCAGAGCGTGGCCCCAACCGCGGGTGCAGGAGAGGCTGCGGCAGGCGCGGCCGCTGTCCCTGGTGCTGAAGGGGGCCAAGGCCCATGCTCCTCCCAGGTTTCGCGCCCCCAGACACCTCTGACACCCCTGGACTGCAGACCCCTGTCAGGCCCCGATGTGGGCCGGAGGGTCTAGTCTCCCGAGTGCTTAAGCACCACCAAGGGCTCGGCCCGCCGAGACCCGGAGCTCTCCGCTGTGCTGCGGGGACCAGGAGCTTGGGGACCGCTTGGAGCTTGAAGGGTAAAGCCCCGGCAGCTGTGGGAGACGGTCACGGCACTGCAGGGAGCAAACCTGGCTCCAAGCTCACACACTCCCGCTCTGCATTAAGCCGGATCGCAGATCATCACCAGAGGAACCCAGAGCAGAGCGGCTGGGAAGCGCGGCCGCCCGCGGCTTGGGACTTGGGGGAAGGGGAAGGGAGCAGCGGGCGGCAGAAGAGGGTGATGGGGTTGAGAGCGACTCTTTTGCATTTTCAAGAGGGAGGGGAGCTGAGACAAGCACCTTCCCGTCCCCCCCCCCAACAGTACACACACAAACACACACACACACACACACACACACACACACACACACAAAGCGGCAAGCGGGATGGAGCTGGGGAAAGTTTGGCACAGCGGCGGCGGTGGCGGCCGCGGCAGTGACAAGCGGCGGCGCGCGGGGGGTCCGGGTGGGTGGCGGGGTCGCCGAGAGCCCCGGCTTTGTCGCCTCCTTACCTCCGTGCTCTCGGATGCGTTCTCCGCCATTTTCCTCCGGAGGAGCAGGCAGCGGGAGGAGTGTTTCATGCCCATAAGAGCCAGCAAGGGTTCGGGGATACGAGATAGTAGAGAAAGAGAGGGCTTGTGTGGCTTTAAAAGAAAGAGCCAGAGAATGGGAGAGAAGGAAAAAAAAAAACCCCAAACCAGCCCCTCTGCCGGAGCGTCCGCCAGTGACTATCAAGCCCGGAGGAGTCTCTCCTGCGGTCTCCACTTTTTCTTTGCCTCGCTCATCTGCCTCGCATCCCCTCACACAGATGCAAGTTCTGGTCTCGCTGGCGACCCCCTCCGCGCCCCTCTCCCCCGCGCGGCGGGCTGGGCGGGAGGGAGGCGGCCCCGAAGGTTCGGAGTGGCGGCGGCGGTTCGGAAGTCCGGCGGGCCAGAGGCGGCCGCCAACTCTCCTAACTTCTGCCTATCGCTGGGCGAAGCAACACGCGTCCTGCGCGGCTCTCCCGGGGGCTGAGCCGGTGAGTGGGGGGTGGGGTGGCAGGTGCACAGGAGCTGGAGGCTGCGGGGCGCGGATCGCTGGGACCACCCGCGCCGCGGGTCAGCCCCAGTGCGCCGGACGGTCGGGTCTGGGGGCCACGTCTGCTGCGCTCTGCCCCTGGCGCTGCGCACACCTGGCGCGGGGGGCGAAGGCTGCGCGCACGCAGCAGGGCGGCGCGCCGGGCTTCTGGAAGCCTGCGTTTGCTAGGCTTTCTGAGGTTCTCAGCCCGGGTGCGCGTCCTCTCACCGAAGGCAAGCTCCCGGCAAGACTCGAGCCAGGTTACTTTGCCCGCCCCACCCCCCGGCTTCTCTTGCTAGCTCCCCTACCGATCCCTGGATGCTTCCTGGGCAGATTACAGTTTGGGGAGCGAAGGGGTGGGTGTCTGGATGGAGAGGGGTGGTCCTTAACGCCTTCAACTCTAGGGCTAAGTGGGCTGTCGTTATCTGTCCTTTCCTCCACCTTCCCTGTCCAAAGCCAGAGGGGCTTCAAGCCCAGCTCAAGCGAATGGGATTGGGGTGAAGGTGACTGCTAGAAGTGGCTTGGAAAAGCCGGTAGGAGCAAGTCAAGAGCTTGCAGTCCAGCTCCCCCTTGCCCTAGTCTTTCCTGGCAGACCCCCACCCCCTGGCCCACAGGGTTCTCCCCACCCCTCGGCCCCTCCCCCACCATCACCAGATCTTGAAGTCCCTTTTATGGGAGAGAGGGAGGATGTCACGTACCCATTAGGATTCTCTCGATCCTTTTTTAAGGGAGTTTGGGCGGCAGCGGGGGGTGTGAATTTTTATACAATGCATTCCTGTCTTCACTTTAGGAGCTTTTTCTCTCTTTCAGGCCATCTGTCAGGCACTGGGAGATAGAACAATGGGGGCTGGGACGCACTCTTCCTCACCCCTTGCAACAGAACACTAAGCCTGACTCTCAAGGACAGCTTGGAACCTTCAGTCTTTCAGAACACAGGTCAAGGGCAGGGACCTCACATTTGCACCTGGCCCATCCTGCCCTTTTCATCTCTGTCCTTATTTGGGGAGATCTAATCTGAATGCCCTGTACTCTGATCATCACCTTTAACAGAGAGGGAGTATAAGACTGTCCTCAACTAACCCAGATCCATTGAGGAAAAAGGCCAGAACCAGACAGGTTCAGGGAAATGGATGCCTCCATCAGACCAGATCCTCAAGAGGAGATGAGGTGACATACAGGAAGGAGAAGGATGAAGAATGAGGATTAAAGACAGTGTAGCAGGAAGCTTGGGTTAACTGGACCACATGTGTGTGCCCTAGGAGAAGAGTAAATTCAAATGAATGATCTTAACCTTCTTAGATCACAGACCTGGATTAGAGTTGGGCATGGATGTGCTGAGTTCTTGGCAATACCTGGTGGGTTGTTCTTTCCTGCCATCCTGCTGAAGTGGTAAAGGGAGAAGTGGGTTTATCTAGAGGACAACTTTTACCCTCTGCCACCTCTTCTCTAAGCATCTTCTTCCAGGTGACTCTTACTCAGACACCTGTTCCAAAGAATATCAATACTTGGACTATTCAGAAAAACAAGATCTGCACCACACATTGGTCCAGTCCTCTTACAGATAGGGAAACCAGATAGGACATTTGTCCCTGGTCCCTCAGCTTGCTGAGAAAGCATCTGAAGCCAGCTCCCCAGCCTCCTGACTTTCATCCCAACACTGCCCCCACCCTACACTCCTTCTGCCTGTGCTTCCATTCTGTGACTAACCAGGGAGGAGGGGAGCTGAAACAGGCTCCCACCGAAATAGGCTGCTGCTGTGCGTGATTATGTTGCTATGAGAACCTCAGTGGGTGTGTTTCCTCCGTTCTCTGTTGAAATCTTTTGCTGTGCTTGGCTTCTCCCCAAGCACAGACACTGCTCCCGTTGGAATGGGGAGTGGAGATGGAGAGTTTTCTGTTCCAACCCAGAGCCTGCCTGGGGCACTAGGTGAGGTATATAAGCCACTGGGGTTGTTCCACAGTAGCCAAAGGAAAGCATGAGTGGCCCATCTCCACTGGATGCTCCAGCTCCATTAAGTCCTCTTGGAGCAGAGATGCTGCCTGTGCTGTACATCCACCTAATCATAAATTCACACACCAAATCACTGTTGCTATAAGATTGAATTGGGGGTCATTTGGAACAGTCAGAATTACTTGAATATGGGGACTGGGAAGATGGTTCTGTCAGTAAAATGTTTGCTGTGCAAGATAGACCTGAGTTCCATCTCAGCACCAATGTAAAACTGGGCACAGCGGTACATACCTGTAATCCCAGTACTAGGGAAGCAGAGACAGGACCACTGCCACATTGATGAGCTCCAGGTTCAGTGAGAGACCCTGTCTCAGCAAATCGGGTGGAGAGCAATTGATGATGACAGTGTTCACCTCCAGCCTCCTTGTGCACCTGCACATACATACATGAACATGTACACACACACACACAATTACCTGAATACTCACCTTCTAGCATTGTGAAATTCCACGATGTAGGAAAAGCACCCAGCACATAGTAGGCACTTTCACATACTGTTTTTCTCACCATCCCCACATTCTTGTGAATTTAGTCTTTATCTCTTTTGCATAAGCTTAATCATTGCACATGGGACTTGCTGTGTATCTCATGTGTACCTAGTTCAGTAATGGGCCTGGGCTTAACAAAGTGACAGAATATACTAGATTGCTGTTGAGTTCTCAACTTAATCACCTTGGATGTTTTGAACAGGACATTTATAAGGCTTTTGGAGAGAGTTTCATGAGAGGCAAGAAGACATGATAAAGGGTACAGTGTTCATCAGGATGTGAGTTCAGTGTATGGTAAAGACATCCTGAAGATACATTTTGCTCATGCCATTTCCCTTGCACTAGACCTTCAACCAAACAGAATGTGTCAAATAGTATGTGTAAAGTGCTTAGAACAATGCCAATCTGATGATAAAATTGCAATTATTGTGTGACTATTTGCTAAGCTTTGTCATATTTAGAACATAAGTTTGATAGGCACTTTTCTTCTGCTATAATCTCTAGACCTGAATAGATTTTCCCATATTTCTTTTAACTACTCTTTGGGGTAGTTATTCCCACAAAACAAAACACAGAGACATGCACAGAAAGAAACAAAACCCCAGAGAGTTTCCCTCCAAATACAATCAAGATTGAAATCAAAGATACCTGATTCCATGCGTGACTATAGGATCGGAAGGCAGGACAGTGGTTCTCAACCTTGGTTGTCTAATCGACCAATCTAAGAGCTCAAAAACTGCCAGTGCTTTGGTCCCTCCCTTAGAAACTGGTATTTAACAGGGTTGAGCATCAGGAATTTTTAAAGACCCTAATTCTAATGGACAACCCTGTTGAGGACAAGTCAATATAGTTGCAGAAAAAAAAAAAAAAAAAAAAAAAAAAAACTGCAGAAGGTCTCGAGCTACAAAAAGACCTCTACCATAGAACTGTCTACTTCTAACACAGAGGTTTTTTTTTTTTTTTTTTTCTCAGTGCTGAGATCAAATCCTAGCAGGTGCTAGGCCAGCACTCTACCACTGAGCCACATTCTCAGTCCTTCGTTTTTGAGACAGGGTCTTGCTATGTAATCCAGGTTGTCCTAGAACTAGAGAATCTCATCTTAGCCTCCTCAGTTGTGGGGTTGCAGGTGTGAGCCATGACACCCAGTCCTAGAGCTCCACTGAAGTAAAGCAAGGTTATGTAGCTGCTTGGAGCTGGCTTGAGGGTTGACATGAGAATCCCAGGGAGGAGCATAATGGAAAAATGTTCCCAGTGTTGTGCTATGCCACTGAGGAAATGAGCTTCCTGTCACTGGCTTAGACTCCTTATATAACAAAGATATGGCAGAGGCAAATTTCAAACACACAGGGTGGCAAAAGGTCTTTAATCTCCCACCGTCCTGTTCCCAAACTCTGAGCCCATGCTGGAATTCCAGAACCAAACACTTCCTTGACTGCCCCACCAGCAGAATGAGGGTGTGACTTCCTTAGTCTGCAGATCACTGCCTGGGAAGATGCTGGCACAAGCTCTCTTACATCACTGTATAAGACCCATCTCTGGTCTCCTTTTTTGCCCCTTCACACATGGCCATGACTCACAATGACCACAAAACACTGCAGTGAGTCCTTGCCTCCTCAAGAATCAGACCATGGCCATTATCCATCACCACACATGGCAGCTAACCTAGCAGTGCGTTCTGGGTGTCGTCTGGGCCAGATGGAGGCCAGTCAAGGCTGCAGCAGCCAGCTACCTGGCTAAGTTTACAGGCAGCCCCAAACTTGAGTGGTTCTCCTGCACAAAAGCTTTTGTCTTTCTCCCAGACTCACTGTTTCTTAAACCCATCCCAAAGAACAACTTTCAAAACTGTCACCAGTGCCTACAAAGCAATTTGAATTTTTTTTTTTTTTGCCAGTAAAACCATGATATTCTTTCTTGCTCTGATGACATCTGGTTAATCAATTCATTGTGGTTTTGTGTTGTATATGACATACTATTTGGTCTGGTAACTATTTGGGAGGTATTTTGTGAGTAGGTTTGCACTGATACTGTCATCTTTGGTGTTTCCCACTCCTAAAATGTCTACTACCTTTGGAATGGCTCAGGAGGAGGGCATTTGTCTAACATGCACTGGGACCTGGATTCAATTACCAAAACTAGCAAAAAAATTCTAGGGGCTTAGTTGATAGCTCACTGGGTAAAATGCCTGGCCCCAGTACCTATGTAAAAGCTGTGAGCAGCAGCAGGTATCTGTAACCCCACTGCTGAAAGAGTGTGGGGAGGAGCAGGAGGCTCCCTATTGACTGCTCAGCCTAGCAAAATCAATGAACTCCAGGTTCAATGAAGGACCCTGGATCAAAAACTAAAGTGGAATGTGACAGAGAAAGGCACCCAATGTCCACCTCTGGCTACCACACACGTGCACACTCCTACATGAACATGTATATTCACACGCACATATGCACATGTGTATATCCATATGTACATGTGTATACTCCTACATGAACATGTCATACATACCACACACACCCCAAAAAGCTAATTCTGTT